TAGAAAGGGGAAGTTTATCCTCGATGATTCATCTGATTGAATGATTAGAAGCGGTTTTACAATCTGTTTGATGTATGATGGAGTTTACTTAACCTAATAACTGTTAAGTTTTCTCGGAGAATCCATTACGTACTAAACTTTTGTGATAATACGTAGCGATTTGTCGAGTCGGAATTGCTCTCTTAAATTTGTTTAAATTCAATTTTGATATCACCAAGAGTTATTTTCAGATATTCATGTGAAGTATGTTGTTGAATAATTCCAAATCCTCTTTAAATTTCCCCATATTGAAGGTTTTTTTCGTGTTTAGAATTAAAAATTTGAAAGCAGTGATTAATCTGGAGATGTTGAGCGTTTATACATGGCAGAAACATTCTTTTAAATCATATTGCTTACACCTTCTCTACAACTCCATGGATTTATTTTAGATGAAAACTCTTACCGGAAAGACAATCACTCTGGACGTAGAGAGCTCCGATATAATATAATTATTTTTAATTATAATTAAGTAACTTTTGTTTTTAATAATTTTTCAATAAAATATATTACGTAACTTTTTTTAAAAAAAATAAATTTGTATCGAATTCAAATGGACTATGTAATTTAAAAAATTATTAAAAATATTTAATTTAATATCTTCAAATCGAAAGACAATTTTGTTGGTAAATCTCCAAGGAGAGGAGAGGAGCATAGAGCTACTTGTAGGCGTTTGACACGTGTCCCCTCCCATTAACTTAATTATTATATATAAAATATATAATAAAATAAAATTAAACAAAGTTTTATTTTATATAATATTTAATGTGCGATAGGCAAATAAATTATATTACTACTTTGTTAATATAATTATATAATTATTTTACACTTTATATTGATAAAAAATAAAAAAATAAATAAAAAATTGATTTGCCAATGAAATTATCTTTTATTTCATATATTTTTCTCAAAAGACAATTTTTTTTTTTTTTTAATGATTTGTTTTGAATTACTTCATATTATAAGTACTTTCTAATCAAAATCCAGTTTGAAATTATAATTAATTTTAGAGATTTGAAATTATTTGCATTGCGTTCTGAATTGAATTTCGTGTACTATTTTATTTTATTTTTTTATTTTTTTGTGTGTACTATTAGATTCAATAATAAATACTATAGTTATACATAACTTTGTAATCTTAAACAAAATGTTATTCCTTTTAATAAATTACTTGTCTTTAAAGTGATCCATCTTAAAATATATAAACAAAAAAATGACAAGCAAGTTGTAATAAAGATGAAAGCAACATTTAAAAGTTGTGCACAAACAAATTATAACACTTAGGTTGTGTTTGGTACATAGAAATGAGGCCAGAGAAATGGAAACGGTACAATTTCTCTTGTTTGTTTGTTTTAGAGAAATGAAACTTAAGAAATAAATCATTTCCATTGCTCTATTTTCATTTCTCTCCCATACCCAGAGAAATGATGTCGCAGTATATGTTTTTTTTTTTTAATTTTTAAAATTTGTTTATACTATTTAATTTTTATAATTTTATTAAAATTATATTATTTTAAGTTTACAAAAAACAAACTTAATATATTTTTAAAGTATTTACTTTTTACGATATTTTAAGAAATTGTACTAAAATAAAATTTTAAAAAACATCGTATATAATATATAATTTTTTTTAAAAAAAAATTACCAAAAATATTTTTCATAAATTTTCATTCGTTAAAACTCTCTTTTTATCGGGTTAATCATTTATTTTTGTTTGATCATTCGTATATCTGCATTTTTTTTTAGATTTCTCAAAATAAATTTAGAGAATTAATTCTCGTTCTCTACTCAATTCCATTTCTCTTCCATTCTATTCTCTACTCTCATTTCTCTGCAGTTCCATTTTGTAAAGAATAATAAAAACTATGAATTCTATCCTCCCATTTATGTAATAAATTATTATTTTTATGTCTAGACTGGAATTTAACATCAATAAATATTTATGAAAAAAATAATATATATTAATATAATATAAAAAATAACAAATATTAATATAATACTCTATTTAATAATACAATATATGTCATTTGTAGTGTGATGAAATGTTAATTGCTTCTAAATTAATGTATTATGATATTTGCTTTGCGACGAATTGCTAATTATTTTATATTAATTTGCCAACGTGGTCGACTCATCAGCACTATAACCGCTATCATATATATATATATATATTTATTTAAATTTTGTAACGTTTATTTATTTTTATGTGCTTACATATCAGTAATATATATATATATATGATGAAAAGTTGTAACTTCTACCTTTCTAGTTCAATATTCATTTCATCTCAATTCAGAAGTATATATATATATATATTTTAATGCCCACTTCAAAATATTTATTTTTTATTTAAAAAAAAATAATTATACATTAATATTAAAATACCATTAAATTTTTACTTAAATTACAAACATAACGTTATAACATACAATCATTTTTATAATGTCAAAGACAAAAATATCACATTCAATGTTTATTATTATATATATATATATATTGGATGCAGGACGTCAACCCGAAACGAGCCTCAGCGAAGAGTTCGTTCTAGCGAAGAAAATCGTCGAACCGGCGCTTCCCGACGAGCTCACCGATTCGTACCGTGAATTCGAAAAACGGGTCGACAAGTATGCCGCGTCGGAGACTGTATCGATGCTCGCTCTTCTACCCGACAAAAGCCCCGATCGTGGTTACGTCACAGAAATTCTCGCGCCCGTGAACAACATATCGAAGCGTCTCCACCGATACGGATTAACGAACGCGGAAGGTTACGCGCGAACGTGCTACATACTAATCCTACTCGACGATGATCAAATCGTCGACTGGTTCGTCGGGATCGCGCGGCAGTGGGTGAGGTGGTTCATCGACTGCGACAATTCCGCCGAAGTGAAGCGGGCAATATCGACCCAGGTGCGGATATCGTGCATACGAACGTTGGCGTCGAAGTACCGAATCCACGAAACGGAGATCGCCAAGAAGTTCGATGAGGAGCTGAGCAGGATCCCGTTGTCGTCGACGGACGAGATCGAGCTCGAGGGTGTTTATTCGGACATGGTTTCGAGCGAAAACGAGCTCGACGGCGTGTCGATGTACGGGGTGAGCGACAGCGGGGTGACCCAGGTTGATATCGCCACTTAATTTTTAATATCGTTTTCGATTTATATTAAAAAAATATAATATATATAGTTTTGTACAAAATATATAATATATAATTTATACACTAAAAAATATAATAGTTTAATATAAAATATTACTTCCTCCGTCCCATTTAATTTGTCCACTTTTTCTCTATTTGTCCGTCCCATATAAATTATCTCTTTTCTGTTTTGGAAATATAATTATACACTTTAATCATATTTTAAAATTCATAATTTATAAAAAAATTTCTTTAATTCAGTCATTTTAATCTATAATTATTTTTATTATACTATAATTATTTTACTAATATATTTCTTAATTAATTACTAATTACATCATAACTAAAACTTCGTGCCCCAGCTAAAATTGACAAATTAGTTGGGTAATATTTTTTTTACACTACTTTAAACTAAAAATACAAAATTAATACACCAGTAAAATAAATTTTAAATTATTAATCTATTAAAAATATCATTAGTAATATAATAAAATTAATGATTATAAATAAATATATGTAATTGTAGCAGTATATTCAAATAAAATATTATATTTTTATAGAAGCAATAAAATATAATTTAAATATAAAAATATATATACATATAATATTAAAAAAATTATTTTAATTTTTATTAGATTTTTTAAATAGGAGGAGGGTATTATATATGGTAAGTTTTTAAATTAGGTAAGTAGTCGTTATGCATAATGATTTTGATTTTGATTTTAATTTTAATATACACATAATATTTTTTTAAAAAAAAATATTTTAATTTTAATATATACATAATATTAAAATGTGAAATTATATATGGTAACTTTTTATATTAGATAAGTAGCCGTTAAGCATAATAATTTTGATTTTAATTTTAATATACACATAATATTAAAAAAAGAAATTATTTTAATTTTAATATACACATAATATTAAAATGTGAAATTATATATGGTAACTTTTTATATTAGGTAAGTAGCCGTTAAGTATAATGATTTTGAATTTGAATTTGATTTTAATTTTAATATACACATAATATTAAAATATAAAATTATATATGGTAAGTGTTTTATATTAGGTAAGTAGCCGTTAAGTATAATGATTTTGAATTTGAATTTGAATTTGATTTTAATTTTAATATAAACATAATATTAAAATATAAAATTATATATGGTAAGTGTTTTATTTTAGGTAAGTAGCCGTTAAAGCATACATTATAAATATTCTTCATTTTGATTTTGTAAACATTATTATAAGTTTTTGGGGGTGCAATACAAATGCAATGGGGGGTACGAGCAGAGCAGGGCAGGGGCAGGGGGGGTTCTTGGTTTGGTGAGAGGAAATTAGGAATTAGGAATTAGGAAGAGGTGTGCTTACACGAGGAAGGGCGATCCATTTAAGGAAGAGGTCAAGTGCAGTGCTTAGGAGGGCGATCCATTTAAGGGAGAGGTCAAGTGCAGTGCTTCGATCTCGATCGATCGATCGATGCAATAGCAGCAAAGCAAAGGCAGGGGCAGGTGGAATTCCGAAGGTTTTGTGAAGAGGGTTCTGCAGAATTTCGGGGATCCAGCTGACACTTGTCGACGAGTAAGTTTTGAGCTTTACTTTTACTGCTCTAGTGGTAATGTAATTTTGGTGAAGTCTTCAATATTTACAAGGGTTTAGAGCCTTTTTTGCTGCTATATTCATCGGTAAAATACAAATTAATTGTTGCTTTATTTTAAGTGCTTTTTCAATCTTGGAACTTTTCTTGGAAAATTTTAGAATCCAATCTTGGGAACTTGGCACTTTTCTTGGAAAATTTTAGAATCCAATCTTGGAACTTTGGCACTTTTCTTGGAAAATTTTAGAATCCAATCTTGGAACTTTTCTTGGAAAATTTTGGAATCCAATCTTGGAACTTTGGCACTTTTCTTGGAAAATTTTAGAATCCAATCTTGGAACTTTCTTGGTTATGATGTATGATGTTGTGTGCTTATTTTGTAGGAGACACAAGAGACCCTTCTACCCCCATATGTACATGTCTTCCCAAAGAAGAGACTGTCCAAGAAGCTGCTGAAACACGTCAATAAAAATGGTGGGATGATCCTAACGGACAGCAGCACCCAAGGCGATGGCGATAGCGAAAAGATCCTTCGATCTCGATTTCAAATCCAAGGTAAGTGATTTTAATATTATTTTGTTGTTTACTATACATATATACTAATATCTATTTTAAATCTTTTTAGATGCATACGAGAGGGAGTGGCCGGATGATCGGACAGCCGTAGGGAGTAACTCGTCCCTTTCCTTTTACAATTATGCATTTAATTTAATTTAGTATTATGCATATAGAAATAGATTTATTTTTACGTCCGTCCCGGGACATGCATGCATTAATTTTGTTTCTATATTTTATACTAACTTATCTTTAAGTGTTTTTAATTTGTAGGTAAAGCTTATGTGGAGACGAGGGAGTGGCCGGATGATCGGACGACCGTAGGGAGTAATTCGTCCCTTTCCTTTTACATTTATGCATTTAATTTAATTTAGCATTATGCATATAGAAATAGATTTATTTTTACGTCCGTCCCGGGACATGCATGCATTAATTTTGTTTCTATATTTTATACTAACTTATTTTTAAGTGTTTTTAATTTGTAGGTAAGCTTATGTGGAGACGAGGGAGTGGCCGGATGATCGGACGACCGTAGGGAGTAATTCGTCCCTTCCTTTTACATTTATGCATTTAATTTAATTTAGCATTATGCATATAGAAATAGATTTATTTTTACGTCCGTCCCGGGACATGCATGCATTGATTTTGTTTCTATATTTTATACTAACTTATTTTTAAGTGTTTTTTATTTGTAGGTAAAGCTTATGTGGAGACGAGGGAGTGGCCGGATGATCGGACGACCGTAGGGAGTAATTCGTCCCTTTCCTTTTACATTTATGCATTTAATTTAATTTAGCATTATGCATATAGCAATAGATTTATTTTTACGTCCGTCCCGGGACATGCATGCATTAATTTTGTTTCTATATTTTATACTAACTTATTTTTAAGTGTTTTTAATTTGTAGGTAAAGCTTATGTGGAGACGAGGGAGTGGCCGGATGATCGGACGACCGTAGGGAGTAATTCGTCCCTTTCCATTTACATTTATGCATTTAATTTAATTTAGCATTATGCATATAGAAATAGATTTATTTTTACGTCCGTCCCGGGACATGCATGCATTGATTTTGTTTCTATATTTTATACTAACTTATTTTTAAGTGTTTTTTATTTGTAGGTAAAGCTTATGTGGAGACGAGGGAGTGGCCGGATGATCGGACGACCGTAGGGAGTAATTCGTCCCTTTCCTTTTACATTTATGCATTTAATTTAATTTAGCATTATGCATATAGAAATAGATTTATTTTTACGTCCGTCCCGGGACATGCATGCATTAATTTTGTTTCTATATTTTATACTAACTTATTTTTAAGTGTTTTTAATTTGTAGGTAAAGCTTATGTGGAGACGAGGGAGTGGACGGATGATCGGACGACCGTAGGGAGTAATTCGTCCCTTTCCTTTTACATTTATGCATTTAATTTAATTTAACATTATGCATATAGAAATAGATTTATTTTTACGTCCGTCCCGGGACATGCATGCATTGATTTTGTTTCTATATTTTATACTAACTTATTTTTAAGTGTTTTTTATTTGTAGGTAAAGCTTATGTGGAGACGAGGGAGTGGCCGGATGATCGGACGACCGTAGGGAGTAATTCGTCCCTTTCCTTTTACATTTATGCATTTAATTTAATTTAGCATTATGCATATAGAAATAGATTTATTTTTACGTCCGTCCCGGGACATGCATGCATTAATTTTGTTTCTATATTATATACTAACTTATTTTTAAGTGTTTTTAATTTGTAGGTAAAGCTTATGTGGAGACGAGTGGATCCGCAAAGATCCTTCGATCTCGATTTCAAATCCAAGGTAAGTGATTTTAATATTATTTTGTTGTTTCCTATACATATATGCTAATATCTATTTTAAATATTTTTAGATGCATACGAGAGAGGGAGCGGCCGGATGATCGGACAACCGTAGGGAGTAATTCGTCCCTTTCCTTTTACATTTATGCATTTAATTTAATTTAGCATTATGCATATAGAAATAGATTTATTTTTACGTCCGTCCCGGGACATGCATGCATTGATTTTGTTTCTATATTTTATACTAACTTATTTTTAAGTGTTTTTTATTTGTAGGTAAAGCTTATGTGGAGACGAGGGAGTGGCCGGATGATCGGATGACCGTAGGGAGTAATTCGTCCCTTTCCTTTTACATTTATGCATTTAATTTAATTTAGCATTATGCATATAGAAATAGATTTATTTTTACGTCCGTCCCGGGACATGCATGCATTAATTTTGTTTCTATATTATATACTAACTTATTTTTAAGTGTTTTTAATTTGTAGGTAAAGCTTATGTGGAGACGAGTGGATCCGCAAAGATCCTTCGATCTCGATTTCAAATCCAAGGTAAGTGATTTTAATATTATTTTGTTGTTTCCTATACATATATGCTAATATCTATTTTAAATATTTTTAGATGCATACGAGAGAGGGAGCGGCCGGATGATCGGACAACCGTAGGGAGTAATTCGTCCCTTTTCTTTTACATTTATGCATTTAATTTAATTTAGCATTATGCATATAGAAATAGATTTATTTTTACGTCCGTCCCGGGACATGCATGCATTAGTTTTGTTTCTATATTTTATACTAACTTATTTTTAAGTGTTTTTAATTTGTAGGTAAAGCTTATGTGGAGACGAGGGGATCCGAAAAGATTCTTCGATCTCGATTTCAAATCATAGGTAAGTGATTTTAATATTATTTTGTTGTTTCCTATATATATATACTAATATCTATTTTAAATCTTTTTAGATGCATTCGAGAGGGAGCGGCCGGATAATCGGACGACCGAATACATTATAGGGAATAATTCGACCCCTTCTTTTTACATTTATGCATTAAATTTATTTTAGCATTATGCATATAGAAATAGATTTATTTTTAAGTCCCGGGACATGCATGCATTAATTTTGTTTCTATATTTTATACTAACTTACTTTTTTAGTGTTTTTAGTTTGTAGGTAAAGCTTATGGGGAGATTACAGGAAGCGCAAAGATCTTTCGATCTAGATTTCAAATCCAAGGTAAGTGATTTTAATATTACTTTGTTGTTTCCTATGCATATATGTACTAATATCTATTTTAAATCTTTTTAGATGCATACGAGAGGGAGTGGCCGGATGATCGGACGACCGAATACATGATAGGGAGTAATTCGTCCCCTTCTTTTTACATTTATGCATTTAATTTATTTTAGCATTATGCATATAGAAATAGATTTATTTTTAAGTCCCGGGACATGCATGCATTAATTTTGTTTCTATATTTTGTACTAACTTACTTTTTTAGTGTTTTTAGTTTGTAGGTAAAGCGTATGTGGAGACGAGAGGATCCGCAAAGATCCTTCGATCTCGATTTCAAATCCAAGGTAAGTGATTTTAATATTAGTTTATGGTTTCCTATGCATATATATACTAATATCTATTTTAAATCTTTTTAGATGCATACGAGAGGGAGTGGCCGGACGACCGAATACATCATAGGGAGTAATTCGCCCCCTTCTTTTTACATTTATGCATTTAATTTATTTTAGCATCATGCATATAGAAATAGATTTACTTTTAAGTCCCGGGACATGCATGCATTAATTTTGTTTCTATATTTTATACTAACTTACTTTTTTAGTGTTTTTAGTTTGTAGGTAAAGCTTACGGGGAGATTAGAGGAAGCGCAAAGATCATTCGATCTAGATTTCAAATCCAAGGTAAGTGATTTTAATATTAGTTTATGGTTTCCTATTCATATATATACTAATATCTATTTTAAATCTTTTTAGATGCATACGAGAGGGAGTGGCCGGATGATCGGACGACCGAATACATCATAGGGAGTAATTCGTCCCCTTCTTTTTACATTTATGCATTTAATTTATTTTAGCATCATGCATATAGAAATAGATTTATTTTTAAGTCCCGGGATATGCATGCATTAATTTTGTTTCTATATTTTATACTAACTTACTTTTTTAGTGTTTTTAGTTTGTAGGTAAAGCTTATGGGGAGATTAGAGGAAGCGCAAAGATCCTTCGATCTAGATTTCAAATCCAAAGTAAGTGATTTTAATATTAGTTTATGGTTTTTTATGCATATATATGCTAATATCTATTTTAAATCTTTTTAGAAGCATACGAGAGGGAGTGGCCGCATGATCGGACGACCGAATACATCATAGGGAGTAATTCGACCCCTTCTTTTTACATTAATGCATTTAATTTATTTTAGCATTATGCATATAGATATAGATTTATTTTTAAGTCCCGGGACATGCATGCATTAATTTTGTTTCTATATTTTATACTAACTTACTTTTTTAGTGTTTTTAGTTTGTAGGTAAAGCTTATGGGGAGATTAGAGGAAGCGCAAAGATCCTTCGATCTAGATTTCAAATCCAAGGTAAGTGATTTTAATATTAGTTTATGGTTTCCTATGCATATATATACTAATATCTATTTTAAATCTTTTTAGATGCATACAAGAGGGAGTGCCCGGATGATCGAACAACCGAATACATCATAGGGAGTAATTCGTCCCCTTCTCTTTACATTTATGCATTTAATTTATTTTAGCATTATGCATATAGAAATAGATTTTATTTTAAGTCCCGGGACATGCATGCATTAAATTTTGTTTCTATATTTTATACTAACTTACTTTTTTAGTGTTTTTAGTTTGTAGGTAAAGCTTATGGGGAGATTATGGAAAGCACAAAGATCCTTCAATCTCGATTTCAAATCCAAGGTAAGTAATTTTAATATTATTTTGTTGTTTCCTATGCATATATATACTAATATCTATTTTAAATCTTTTTAGATGCATACGAGAGGGAGTGACCGGATGATCGGACGACCGAATACATGATAGGGAGTAATTCGTCCCCTTCTTTTTACATTTATGCATTTAATTTATTTTAGCATTATGCATATAGAAATAGATTTATTTTTAAGTCCCGGGACATGCATGCATTAATTTTGTTTCTATATTTTGTACTAACTTACTTTTTTAGTGTTTTTAGTTTGTAGGTAAAGCGTATGTGGAGACGAGAGGATCCGCAAAGATCCTTCGATCTCGATTTCAAATCCAAGGTAAGTGATTTTAATATTAGTTTATGGTTTCCTATTCATATATATACTAATATCTATTTTAAATCTTTTTAGATGCATACGAGAGGAAGTGACCGGATGATCGGACGACCGAATACATCATAGGGAGTAATTCGTCCCTTTTCTTTTACATTTATGCATTTAATTTATTTTATCATTATGCATATAGAAATAGATTTATTTTTAAGTCCCGGGACATGCATGCATTTTTGTTTCTATATTTTATACTAACTTACGTTTTTAGTGTTTTTAGTTTGTAGGTAAAGCTTATGGGGAGATTAGAGGAAGCGCAAAGATCCTTCGATCTAGATTTCAAATCCAAGGTAAGTGATTTTAATATTAGTTTATGGTTTCCTATTCATATATATACTAATATCTATTTTAAATATTTTTAGATGCATACAAGAGGGAGTGCCCGGATGATCGGACAACCGAATACATCATAGGGAGTAATTCGTTCCCTTCTCTTTACATTTATGCATTTAATTTATTTTAGCATTATGCATATAGAAATAGATTTTATTTTAAGTCCCGGGACATGCATGCATTAAATTTTGTTTCTACTAACTTACTTTTTTAGTGTTTTTAGCTTGTAGGTAAAGCTTATGGGGAGATTATGGAAAGCACAAAGATCCTTCAATCTCGATTTCAAATCCAAGGTAAGTAATTTTAATATTATTTTGTTGTTTCCTATGCATATATATACTAATATCTATTTTAAATCTGTTTAGATGCATACGAGAGGGAGTGACCGGATGATCGGACGACCGAATACATCATAGGGAGTAATTCGTCCCTTTTCTTTTACATTTATGCATTTAATTTATTTTATCATTATGCATATAGAAATAGATTTATTTTTAAGTCCCGGGACATGCATGCATTAATTTTTTTTCTATATTTTATACTAACTTACTTTTTTAGTGTTTTTAGTTTGTAGGTAAAGTTTATGGGGAGATTATGGAAACCACAAAGATCCTTCAATCTCGATTTCAAATCCAAGGTAAGTAATTTTAATATTATTTTGTTGTTTCCTATGCAGATATATATTAATATCTATTTTAAATCTTTTTAGATGCATACGACAGGGAGTGACCGGATGATCGGACGACCGAATACATCATAGGGAGTAATTCGTCCCCTTCTTTTTACATTTATGCATTTAATTTATTTTAGCATTATGCATATATAAATAGATTCATTTTTACGTCCGTCCCGGGACATGCATGCATTCATTCGTTTTGCTTCTATATTTTATACTAACTTATTTTTAAGTGCTTTTAATTTGTAGGTAAAGTTTATATGGAGACTAGGGGATCCGCAAAGATCCTTCGATCTCGATTTCAAATCAAAAGTAAGTGATTTTAATATTATTTTGTTGTTTCCTATGCATATATACTAATATATATTTTAAATCATTTTAGATGCATAGGAGATGGAGGGGCCGGATGATCGGACGACCGAAAGCATAATAAGGAGTATATCGTCTTTTTTCTTTTACATTTATGCATTGCATTTATTTTAGCATCCTGCATATAGAAATATAATTATTTTTACGTCCCGGGACTTGTATGCATTCATTTTGTTTCTAAATTTTATACTAACTTCTTTTTTAGTGTTTTTACTTTATAGGTAAAACTTATGGGAGACGAGAGGATCCGCAAAGATCCTTCAACACCGATTTCAAACCCAAGGTAAGTGATTTTATTATTATTTTGTTGTTTCCTATGTATATATACTTATATCTATTTTAAATATTTTTAGATGCATAGGAGAGGGAGCGGCCGGATGATCGGATGACCGAAAATATATTACGGAGTAGTTCGTCGTTTTTCTTTTATATTTTCGCATTGCATTTACATTAGCATCTTACATATAATAATAGAATTATGTTTAGGTCCCGGGATTTGGATGTATTAATTTTATTTCTAAATTTTATCCTTATTTGTTTTAAAGTGTATTTAGTTTGTAGGTAAAGTTTATGTGGAGTCTACTACTATCAAATCCATATTCGACACGAACAAATAAAGATTTGGGTCTAGAAATTAGTTCCAAACTATTTTTAGGTCGGGCCAACCCAGTATGGTTGAATAACCAAACTGGTTTGAAGCCTATGCAAATTATGACGTGCCTAGCAGGGTCTAATTGATTAAAATATTCTAAGTAAAAATATTTTTTAATATAATATTAACTATATAATAAAATTAATAATTAATTAATGTTTAAATTCTTAATTATCAATAAAATACTTTGTCCTAATTATATCAATTTAGATTAATATAATTTATTATTTAATAAAAAATGATATATTATTTTTAAAATCTAATATTAAAAATCTGGGCTGGCCTGGCCTGGCCCGGTATAATTTGAAACCGGGCCATGCCTTGGTTGGATTTTCAAGCCCAATGCAAAATTAGGTCGAACCTATCGGGCTTGAATTTTAAAACAGCCCGAGCCAGCCCAAAAAAATATTACTCCCTCCCTTGCGAAAAATGCACTAATTTTTTTGCATGGTGGGGGGAGTAATACCAGCTTCAAATTGCCACATTTTTTTTTTCAAATATGATATCAACTTTCTCAAATAATAAAAGCAAGGTACCTTGAAATATGAATCCACCGATATGCTGAAAGCTTTTTTCTTTAAATCCGCCGATATGCTGAAGCTTATTCCAGCAATACCTTTGTATCGAACTGCAATGGTGCACCAGAGAAGTCATTTTCCAATGCTTTTACATATACCTCTTGAAAGTAAGAAATTAAGTAAAAAAAAAAAAACACAAATCATGCCTACACTGGTTTTTCATATATCTATTATTATGAAATTGTCCAAAGCATTATTATTACGAAATACAGTTTACCAATTCTCTAAACTAAGGCTACTTAGTACCAGCTCGCAAACAATCTGTTCATACCATCTTTAATGTGCCAACATAACTCAGGGTGAGAAAATTATTAAGCACAACATGACAATTATTTTAAACGTTTTAATAAAATTTGACCCATTTGTCTTATGGAAATATGTTCAACAATTAGTGGACAAAAAATTAATGTTCACACATAGACACGAATACTAGAAACCATATTACTCTTTTTGTACATTTTTATTACAAAACTCAAAAGGTAACAAAAAGTACACAACCATTTAAATAACACATTGCAATACTTCAAGCACACATTCGACTACGCATACCTGCAACGCCCCTGGGTTTATTTGCAATATTTTTATTTGTAAGAGGAAATAAAATTTATCAATTGAGAAGATAAATATTGCATTCAAATAATTTAATTTAGATAAAAGAAAATTTCTAGTCCTCCTCTCTTTACTTTTTATTTGCAATAGTTTTATAATTGTTTTTTAATTATAAAAGAGAAAAAAAAAAAATGAAGCTATAAAAATTAAAAAAAAATCAAAATATTTCACAGTAAAAACAATATATAATAAATACTAACCTTCTCTACTAAAAAAACTATGGTCATATTTGGATTGCGCACAAAATTTAAAGAATATTGATATTATATTCATAGTTGGTAAAAAATATAAGTATAAAAAGTAGTAGCATTTGTGTAACAATAATAAAAAAATAATATTAAATCTTGCAAGATTTTACATGCTCAAGAGGTACGTCCGATCACTAGTGATTTCATTAGTATTATAAATATAAAATATTTTTAAATTATAAAAATTTTAAAAAATCATTTCTAAAAATAAATAGAAACAAAACGGTCATATTTTAAAAGTTTTTTTTATCGTAATGATTTCATTAGTATTATAGTAATATATATATAATATGAATATTTTTTAATTATAAAGATTTTTTAAAAAAAAAAATTACTTGTAAAAATAAATAGAGACCATAACGGTCATAATAATAAGATTTTAAAAGATCTTGTGACTAATGGTTTCCTTAATTGCTAATCACCAACAGACTTGGATTGGGCAAGAAGAAAAAAGAACGAAGGAAAGGTAGACGAGCCAGGGATGGAGATGGAGATGGAGATGGAAATGGAAAGTATTCTGAATAAAATGAGACAATCGAGAGAGTTAGTTACTTACTTGAGCAGAGAGCAGAGAGCATTGCAGCACATATTACGGAATGAGTGATGCATATACATACCCCACCCCTCCTCACCAATGCCCACTCACTCTGCTGCAGAGAAAGGAAAGGGAACACATATAATAACATCCAATAGTTTTGTTTTTCTTACAGCAAAACAAAACTTAAGTCGACACGACGAGACGAGACCATAAAAAATCAATTTAAATAAATGATGGAATGAATGAATTAAAATCTGCATTGTGACTGATGCTCTCTTACCGAATCATGTGACTTTTTAAGAGATGCGGCCTTTGCCGAATCAGGCTTTGAGCTTGCTGAAGAAGCTGACATCCTCTACTTGTTTGGAGTCTCAACACTTCTCGCTTTGCTTGTGGCCATTGGGAGTGCGAGGGGATGATTTCACCTGAAAAAAATAAAAGAGAGAATACTTCAATAATACAGCTCAGAGAGTATGATATCCGAAATTCAGTAAATGTAATTAAGATCACTTGCAATGGGACTTTTATATGCATTACTAACCCCATCAAAGAACCTGATTTTGGGAGAAGGCATTCGTAATCCTGTTGGTTTCCCTAAACCCTGAACAACACTACTGGATTGCCCTCTGCCTGAAGTAGAAGAATTCGTTAGAGAAGTCTTCGATGGCTGGCACTGCATGCCTTGGCAACATCCTTCCTGCGCCGACAGCTACTTTTGGGAGTTGGGTTCCTTTACTTGTAGTAGTTAGTGTCAATAAATAATACTAACATTAGGCACAAGATGATTTCTGATTTCATTTAAACACACAAACACACACAAGATGAGTTCCTTGGCAATGATTTCCGATACTTTCAAATCCCCATTGAAGTGAAAACTTAAAACCAAATTTACAAGAATCGAATCAAATGAAAACTTCAGATACTTTCAAATGTACTGCATATCTCATCCCAAACCTAGTTTGGAAGCTTAAACCATTCGAAAAGATAAGAACACTAACAATTTCTTAAACATATCCAAAATCTGACTGTGCTAAATGCTAACACTAAATAAACAACAGCTGTAAGAATTTGCACCTTCTAAGGCAATATTATGATTCATTTAGATAACCTGCAGGCTCTGCAACCAACTATGGTTAGAGCTAAGAACAACAACTTAGCAGAATTCATTCAATGGATGCAATTTAATCAATAAGAAAGAACTAATCTACCAACTTCAAATCGTGTTACCCAAATTTATAGATAAAGCGAATATCCAGAGCTAAAACCTAATTTGAACAGAGTTAAGGAGTAGAGCAAAACAAAAATTAAGCCAGTCAAATTTCAACCAGGCAAATAAACCAAAATCAACCGACTGAATCAAGGAGGAAGATAATCAAAGCATCTACGCCCAAAATGCTACCATACTCACAAGATGATCAGCATAAAGTTGTATTATTAACTGGAACAAGGAGAGCTTCGAATTCATACCTGATCAGAATCGCTGATTCATTCATTCACACAGTAGGCTTACGCTCGAATTCATTCCCAGGATCATCCGTGCGCGGAAATGCCCGAATTCCAGTCACCATAGCATCAGGAAGACCTCTCCTACACCGCTGCTCCATCTCCCGAAAACAACGCCTCCACAGATCCATCCCGGCGGTTCCGAACCCAACCTCTCAACCCTAACTCCTTCGCATTATCAATCGTCCAATTCCGATAGATCCGACACACCTTGCACTCTCCCCCTTATCGCCATTCTCACCTGATTCAAACGCCAAATTAGAACGAAACAGAAATCTATTAATGAAATTGAGAAATCGCTTACTGTTTCGACAGAGGCCTCCTCCTGCGGCGAGTTCATCGAGGACATAGTAGAGAATAGAGTGCGTAGACGGTGTCGGAGCAGAGGAGGAGGAAGAAGATGAAGACGACGGTACAGCGGAGGAGGAGAATGAGGAAGATGAAGACGACGGTACAGCGGAGGAGGAGAATGAGGAAGAAGAGAAGTATGATGAGGAAGAAGAGGAGGTCGCGCGAATGTCAGGCGGCAGAGCGCATTGGCATTGCTACGCCATTGGAGATGCTTCAGATCTGAAATCGTGGTTTGGAACAATAGCGATTTTGTCGCCATTTCTGTTAAAGTCGCAAATCGGAAGTGTGGATAAGTGATTGTTAGTGTTGTTTGTGGTTCTGCCAGAGTAACTATGGGTGTGTTTGTTTGGGGTTGAATTTTTTGAATTGGAATTTAAATAGTTAAAATTTTGAATTTAAATAGTTGTATGATGTGATATAAATAGATATTGATGTAATGTTTTAAATATAAAATTGATTTTTTTTTAGTATAATATAAAAAATAAAAAATAGGTGTTTGATTTGATGTTTTTGGGAGAAAAGAATAGGATGAAAAATGAATCTTAATAGTAAAAAATGTATAAAACTCACAAAAGAATTCAACCTCTATTTTCATTTTGCTTTTGCTAATTTTTTTTTATTATGAAAATGGATAAATATTTTATTACAAAAATTAGAATAACAAAATATTCATAGAATTAAAAGAAACTTATTACCATTAAAAACAAGAGAAATGACACAATTTCCATTTCGCTTGCCTCATTTCTCTGTACCAAACACGGTGTTTTTTCTTTAAAAAAAATGGCTTAGAAAGAAAATATTTTATCTGATATATAGAAAATTGCATATATAATATAAAAATAATAAATATATGTATATATTAATTTAATTTTACAAACTAGGCACAAGATGTCTTCATTATTAGTATCATAAAATTTGTTAGAAACAAAAATTCAATAATGGGTTTAGTAACTACTCATTGTCGGCTTCCTAATACTATAGTAGGCATGCCAAATTGGCAATGTAATTTACTTTTATATATGATAATTAAATTTGCTTCAAGTATTTAAAATTTTAATTACTAAAACAAAAGTAAATAAAGGATGTTATTTTTTTGAGTTGATCTTTTTCTTTAAACTTTTAAAAACTCAAAATTACTATAAAATATTATTTTTAATATTTTTTATTTAATATATTAAGTTCAATATTTACTTTAATTAAAAAAATTAAATTCAAATTTTAAGTATAAAAAATTACCAAAAATATATACACAATTTCTTGTTTAGCAAGGGATGGTCTGGCTGTGTAGGGTAGGATTTGTTATTTTTTTTTGAAATATAATTATACACTTTAATTATATTTTAAAATTTATAATTTATATTTTTAATTAAACTATTTATCATCTTAGTCTTATTCTATAATTTTTTTTTATTAAATTATAATTATTTTTACTAATTCACTTTTAATTACTTACTAATTATTTTATATCTAATCTAAACTAAATAGGATAATTTAAGTAGAACGGAAAGAATATCATATTACTCCTATTATTTTCTTCCTCCGGTAATTATATCACCTATTTAACTTATTTTTTAATATTATATCAAATATATTATTGTAATAAATATCATATTATTTATTCTTTTAGTCTGAAATAATTATATAATATTTTTTTATTGTAAGTCAAAATTATGTTTAATTGGTTTATTGTAAACAATTTTATTTGTCCACATATTGATTAAAATTATTTTAACAATTAATAATAAATTTGTTACTATTTTTTCGGTTTATCCCACGACTTTATTATTAACTGTATTTAATAAGTTTTTTATAATACTTTATTATTTAATTATCTCACTTTTATATTAAAATTTAATCATTTGTTTCAATTTAGAGTAATATTTTTACAATTTTTACTGGTCTCATTCAAAAATATATCTTTTATATTATAGTATAAACAATAATACATTAATAACAAAATACATTTTTACTTTTTACATATTATATATTTTATAGATATTTTAGATGTCATTTACTCTGCGAATCAATTTATTGGTTCTACAAATAATATTTTTTATTAATTAATTTATTTTAAAATACATTAATTATACATATAGCCGTATATAGCCCGAGTTTTTACATTCTAATTATAAATATATTATTATTATTATAATATATAATTAATTTATACATAAAATATGAAAAATAAAAACATCAAAATTATTTTACACATTTTTATTAATTAACGAAATATTATTATCTTGTAATCTACTTAGGGTGTGTTTCGTTTGATAGATTTGGACAAAATCTCACTATTCATCCAAAAAAATTTCCTCAAAAACATCAAATCAAACACTTATTTTTTATTTTTTATATTATACTAAAAATTAATTTTATATTCAAAATATCACATCATACAACTATTCAAATTTAAAATTTTTACTATTCAAATCCCAACTCAAAATCCAAAACCGCAAACAAACACACCCTTAGAAACAACTAACTCATTTGAATTGAAATATATTAATTATTTCATTTTAAACTACTCGGCTTTAAAGCTTTGAATAGATGTAGCCTAATATTCCTGTCCCATTTAATATAAACTTATTATCTTAGATGCAATAATTTAGGTTAAATATATTTAATAAATAATTAAAAAATATATTAATAAAAATAATTATTATATAATAAATTAATCATAAATTAAAATTAATATAACTAAATAATTTAATTAAAATTATAAAATTTAAAATAATATTAAAATGTATCATATTATTTAAAAAATAATAAATTATGTGAATGAGATTAAAATAAAAACAAATTATGTGTAAAGGGATCAATACTTTTTGGTAACAGTAATAAATTTATCAGCATTGGGGAAGTTCCAAAAAACTTAACAGCAGCAGTAATAAATTGTGTTCGGCTGCAACAACAAGTTGGTTGAACCAAAATTGAAGTCAAAGAAATTCAGTAGGGTAGGGTAGAGTAGGGTTGGGTAGGGGTAGGGTAGCTGGAATTTGCCCAAGCAAACAATGTTAGTACATTACATTAAAAGTAATTAAATAAATTTTATTAAATAAACTTACCACCACAACAGCTGCTCTGCTGTAGTATTTCATTGATTGATGATTTATTGCATCTAATTAAGATTTTCTTTCAAAAATGTCTGTCCTACAATGAAAAATAAAAAATGAAAAATAAAAAAAAAAAAAATTCTCGATTTTTTCCCAAATAATTAATAAAATAGTCGAGAGCACATACTGTCCTCTCCTGTCCTGTCACATTCTCCCTATTGTGCCCAAACATGCATGCCTTCATTTTTATTTTTTTTTTAATATTTTTTTGGAAACTATTGACCAGGGATTTTTATTACACTAATTTGTTGCTTCTCGGACAACTGTACTTCTTAGTTGAAAGAATATAAATATAAATAAATATATATATATATATATATAAATAAAGCATTCTCACCTGCCCACAACTGGGCAGTTCTTGGCGACGAATCTCCACCGTTGATTTGGACCAATCATTGAGGACCACTCTTTTAATTTATTATTTATTTTTATTTTTATTTTTGTTGTCTGGATGACCCAGCCTTAACCTTATCTTCTAATATCAAATTTGCCCCTTTTGCGATCTGTCCCTTTTGATAAAATATTAACATAAGCCCACAAAATTCTTCCTTTTTATTTTTTATTTTTTATTTTATCTGTTCGATTGCACTAATGAAACAGTCGTCTTAAGGAAAATTAGAATCTATTTGTTTGTCAATCATTCAAGATTTTTACAATTATAATTGGATCAAAACCAAAGTATGAAACAAATAATCCCTTTTGGGATTAATTCAGACACCAACAATTTTAAAGAGAGAAATTTCTCTGTAATATTTTTTTTTTTGAGAGGACCTAAAGACATTAAAAAAAAAAACCCAAAAAAAAAAAGAGTTACGATAATTAAAACAAACCGAAAATCAAGAAATCAATTCAACTATCCTCGGAAGTCTCCGGGCTCGGGTACTCATTCAAATCGGGCTTTCCGGGGGCCCGACCCACGTTGGATCCGGCTAGCAGAGCGTGGCTACCGGCGCTTTGCAGCGCGTCGACTCTAGCTCCGACTTCGGTGGCTCTCTTCCGGATGGCGGCGGCGGACAAGTCGTGCGCCGAGTCGACGACGTCGTCGACGATGCACTCCGGGAAGTTCAGCCGCGCCGAGCGGCCGCGGAGATAGAACAACGCCGTGTCGTAGGCACGCGCCGCCGCGACGGGCGACGAGTACGAGCCGAGCCATATCCTGGACCGCTTGTTCGGCTCCCTTATCTCGGCTACCCACTTCCCCCACTTCCTCATACGTATACCTCTATACGGCTTATCCGGCTGATGCTGCCTCGGCTTCCTCTTCGACATCTCCCCGCCGGACGAAGACGCCGGCGAAGTCGTGCAGCAGCCGCCTTCCATTTCTGCGTACTTAAATTCCCCCTCAATTAAATACCTCAGATCACCGGAGTAGCTTTTCCGGTCAATCTATTTATCAAAAAATCAGACTTAGGGTTTGGTAAAATATTCCGACGAAGTGAGAAGAGGGAGGATTATAAAAGAGCGAATCTTTTAGGGCAGCACCTCATGCTCAAACAACGCTTACTCAGATGCGATACCTCTGAATTTATATGCGGCTGAAGAAGACGGCTCATTTACGTGCTGTTTCTGGACTCCAACTCCGCATCAATCCACGCCGTCCGATTCTTTATGCCACTATTCGACGGTGGTGATTAATCCTGGAGTTGTACTCCCTTGTCCGGCTGAGATATTACCCGATTATTTCTTGTCATTATTTTCTTGTTTTAATGATGTGTCAGTAAGCTATATTTTAATTGCAATTTTTTCTATTTTTACTTTAATTTAAAATCGCCACTTCAATGATTATCAATTTATTTTTAAAATCAAACTTAGATATATATTGCGCGAAAGAATAGTGAGTCGGCGGGTAGTGTGTCGTCTGGGCACGGCCGTTGTGTAACTACAATATCTGTCCCACACGTGGCGTGTTTCTATTGCAGGGTTTTTTTTTAAAAAAAAATAAATATCCAAATCCAATGATGTAAGGATGCGAATTTGTCACAGTTCAGAAAAAGATTGTACAGTATTTGTTAATTTTGAAATTCTTAAAAGAAAAGTAGATGTGAAAAATTCTCAATTGCATAAATTGATTTAACATTCTATCCCTATATTTTTTATAAATACTTTTTATTTTTTTATATTATCCTTGATATGTGTAAAAAAATATTCTTCAAATTGAACAATCGCTTGCGCAAAAGCAAATCATCTTCTATTGCTGATTTATTTTTCGGATAAAGAAGTCTAGCTACTACCAACTGTTTTTGCTGTCAAGCTGTCAGAGTTGTCCAATTTCACGGTTGTTATGGTTGGTTAACTCTTGTTTGTAGATAAATAAATAAATAATATATATTTTAACAATTTAAACTTTTAGGTTAATATCATTAATATAGCATTAGAGTTTTAGATTTCGAATTTGAGTGTCACTGTCCCCTCCTGGCATTGGACACGTACTGTTTGTTTGGTTTTTTATAAAAATTATGATTTTATTATTAATGCAATTACATTTTTATTTTTTTTTTAAAATTTTACATGGATGAATTAATCCCGATTGTTTGGTATCATCGGGATTGTTAGAATTGGTGTGGTATTGTGATCGCCAATTGTTAATTTCCAAAAATAGATTCTAAAAAGTAGTAATATATACAAAAGTAAAATAAGAGCAAATTTTAAATTTGCTACTAATGACTTGAAGATGTGTGGAGTCTTTTAAGTGTGGGAGAAAATATATAGAAAAATAAAACAGAAATTTTTTTAAATGGGTCTCCAAAATAATTTCTCAAAAAAATTTAAACAATATATTATAACTACAAATAATGGATTCAATAATAATAATAATAAAAAAAAATAACATGAAAAATTAATCAAAATATAGCTAATTTAGAGGGGCATATATCAGCTAATTAACATATATTTATACATATATATATATATATATTTAATTATATTTATAATATAACATATCTCATATTATAATTTGATATATGTTATTTTTATATGTAAATATACGATGATTATGTGTATGATATATATGGATCCGATTAAATCAGCAACAACGCTGCTTGATTAACATTTGGTAATGGAATTATATGCACCACAAAGTAATTAATATTGGTCTCACTAAAGCTCGATTGATTGTTACTTCGAAATAAGTTAGAATAAAAATCAGATATACATCAAATTATTTAATCATCACTATGAACGGGAAAGGCCACCTGTAATGGAACTTGTTGAGGCGCAGCCAATTTCATTACAAGTATATATATATATATAGAAAAATAAATAATATATATTCATATATAATTGTCAAATAAAGACAAATTCCACTTTGAAGTTTCTGCCTATGGAATTAATCGTTAGTGACTTCAACGGTTCCCTCGTCTCTCACGCAACCCCTATGTCCTTTCAATTTTTATTTAATTTAATTTTTAATCATTTGCATATTAATCTGTTCTAAATATATTTTTATTTATAAATACAGAAGAAGAGAAAAGAAAAACTTTAGAACATATTATATATATGTATAAAATAAAACGTGTATTTTTCTTGATAGATTGTACGCTAATACGTGCCATGGCCAAAATTGGTCAATGACTAATGATTGGAGTTGATTTATTTATTTTTTAATAAATGTTTTAAATTTGACTGTAGAGAATATTATTATTATTATTATATTATTATTATTTATCATCTCGTTTATGAATTCGCTGTGAAGTTTCGGGGGCGTAATTAAAGTCGTGCTAGTACATTTTGTGACCAATAATTAAAGTCGTGCTTTTGGAATATGCAAAGTTAGGTAATCAATTATTTAGTTTAGCAAAAATGGGATATAATTGAGTTCTTATATGGAAAAAATCTCACAATTATTATAATCAAATTTTATAGAAAAACTAAGAAACAAAACTGAAGGTCAGAAAGACAAATAAAAGGGCCTTCCGTCCACGCAATAACGAAAATTTAAAAGCCATGGGAAATGGCGGGTCCCACACCCACTCTACGCGACGTCGTTTTGTCCATCCTTCACGTCTGCTCCATCGTTCAGTTTCTCCTGCAAGCTTTTATTACTCTCTCCGTTCCCCAAAAAAGATGTCGTTTATTTTTTTAAGTATATTTTTAAATATTAGTATTATATTGGATTATAGTATAAAAGATAAAAATACCTCTATAAAATGACATTTGTGTAATATATTGTAAATTGATAGAGCATTTATTATGTTAGATAAGTAGTACAATTACTAAATTGAGAAATAATAATCTTGTTTTGGGACGGACGAAAATAGAAAATGACAACCTTTCAATGGGACGGAGGGAGTAGTATTTTTTTAAAAAAATAATAGTGTTCTGTCCCATAATAAAATATCTATTTTTTCATTTTAGTCCGTAACATAACAAAGTATCTATTTTTTTTGTATCTATACTATCTACCTAACATTACAAATACCCTTACAACTTACAATATATTACACAAATATTATTACTTTTATATCACAGTACTAATAAAGTTATTTTAGTCATTTTTACTTTATTCCTACTACATCCTAATATAATACTAATATTTCTAAAATTATATGCAAAAAACAAATGGATATTTACAAGGAAGTAGCAATATTCGGTTTTAGATATTTTGATATAGTTATTTAATTTGATTATTTCATTATCATAATTATCTAAAAACATAGTTCTTCTATCCACCAGTAGGTTAAGAACATCTCTAACTATGCTCTATATCTGGCGTTTCAACATCATTTTTGCCGCCGAGCTGCTCCAATCCAGCGCCATTCCCAGCACCAAATTTAGAGTTTGCTACAGTGCAATACCATGCAAACGCTATTTTTTTTTTTAAAAAAATTTTATAAAATTATAAATTTAATTTTTATTTTTAAAATTTTTTTAAATTATAAAAATAAAAAGTTGTTTAAAATGATAGGAAAAATTGAATATTTGAAGAATAAAAGTAAAAAATGGAGTTATGGTTGGAGTAAAATTACTGTAGCAACTACATATTTGGAGTTAAAACTGGATAAATCACTACAAGAAAAAATTATTTTTGTAACAAAACTCTTTTGTCTCTAAATCTACTTTTTCCGTTACTAATGACATTAGAGACGGAATTAGGAATGAAATTACGTTAGCTACATGAACTTTAGGGACGAAATTTTGTTACAAATAAATTATTTTTTTCTGTAGTGAATGGAGATGATGGGTTTGGAGATGGCTAAGTAAAAAATTCTAATGAAAAGTTGGTCAAAAAATGCTAAACATAAAAATTTATTCAATTTGATATAATTTAAATAGACGAAATATTTGTTTGAAAAGAAGACGACGGCCGAGAAAACCAAAATAGAAACAGTGCAGCCGCAAAAAGAAAATTTGAAGTTCACAATCTAATATTTATATATTTATTTATTTATTTATTGTGGTAGTAATCGATATTAAATATGGGCAACTTTAATTTGTGCAATTGTTTAATTGTTGATAATTGAGGTTTATCAATTCATATATGCATTTGATTGATTTGATTTAATGACGTTTGGGCGGCAGGTGGAGCAAGAGAGATACATACAATTGCGTGTATCTATATCGTAAAAGGATAAAACCTAAAATGTGACCCTGCCTGTTGAAATGTATTAAGGGTGTGTTTGTTTGAAGGATTTTGGAGGATTTTCACTATTCATCCAATTTTTTTCCCCCAAAAATATCAAATCAAACACCTATTTTTTATTTTTTATATTATACTAAAAATCAATTTTACATTCAAAACATCACATCAAACCCTATTTATATCACATCATACAACTATTCAAATTCAAAATTTTTACTAAGGGTGTGTTTCTTTACGGTGGTTTTGGGATTAGTTTGGATTTGAATTTTTTAGGAGTTTTGAGAATCTGTTTTTCTTCTATGTAGTAGGTTTTATTTGATTTTGGAGAATTTTGTTGGATAATGATTTGATAGGTAATAATTGGAGTGATGAGATTATTAAAAATAATTTATATTAAAAATAAACAAATGTAATAAATATGAAGTGTGATGTTTTTCTTTTATTTATTTTATTTTATTCGTTAACAAAAAAAAAAGAAAAAAAAGAAATTAATTTGACAGTAGTCTACAGTTACGTGCGGAAGAACAAGTGGAAGAAATATTTCTTCAATGCAAGTTACGTTTGATATATAATAAAAAAAATGTAATCAACAGTGAAAGACTATGTCGAATACCAAAAGTTAACAAGCGTCAATGACAAAAATATGTCATGCGCGTAGGTCGTCCGGTGGCGTACAGTACATTACAAATCATTCAAGAATTACGTAAGACCGAAATATAAATAAGCAAATAAGTATGCACGGCCGTGCCCGTGTGTTGGCAATTGACTGTGGTCCATAACCATAAAATTAGCAGAAGGTAAATATGCACAGTCATGAACGTATGGTGTAAATGGACTGCTTCTCGTATACATGAAAGGCAAAGGGTATGAGAAAACTCACCATGGTCAAACCCTACACACTAGCCTGCAGTTTTGTCGTCTAGAATGTGGTTTCGCGCGCATTCACAAACCTACGGTAACATTACAGTTGGTTTCCTAGACTTAACGCCAAAGGAAGACACTTAGTGATGCAT